GCCGTTGGATTGAGAGGGATATTTCTGTTGGAGTGGGTTCTCAGTTTTGGTAACATCCAGCTGTGTTATTCACACCCAGAGAAATAATGAATCATACAAGAGAGAGATCATTATCGTTTCCTTCACTATGGGAGTCTGTGTCCTCAGTAATCACATTGTGTAAAGGTGTTTCCACTGACAACATCTTTGAAGGCAAACTGAAAGTGGGGCTGAAAGAAAATGAACAAAAGCTGGTATTGAATGTCCGGTTGGATTCGCTGTCTTGTTCACGTTCTGTCTTCTTTCTCGTTCGATCACATAGTTCCTGATTCAGGTAGAAAAAGAAAAGAAGTGAGTTTTAATGTTGCACAGCCTTTTGTGTTCAGGCAACATCAACATGATGCAAACATCTTTTATAAGATAAAATATAAAAGTTTTGTTGAAAATGTATCAGGAAAAGTATTCAGGTATTGACACCAGTATGGAAAACTCAAAGCAATAGTTTGACCTTTATTTACTTTGTTGCAGAAAGTTAGATGAGAAGCTTGATACCACCATGATGTTTGTGTGATAAAGCCACCTCCGGCAGACAGACTGGCCTGGCTCTGTCAGAAGGGAACAACATCTGTCTCTCTCTAAAGTTGACTAATAAACATGTTGTATTAAGTTTGCCTAATTCTATAAAAATGAAGTTAAAAGCAGCTAGTGCCAGTGTTACGGGAGGTAATGTGTCAGAGCATTAGGGAGAAGTGGCTGGTTGCCTGGCAACCTCATGATGATGACAAGACTTCAGGAAACTTTCTGGCGAATGAGATATAGCGTGTTCATTGAAAGCTTTAGAGGTGCTGAGAGGGGGGTGTTGTTAAATTTGGACAGAGCCGGGCTTTGTGTTTCCCCCTGTATTCAGTCTTCATGCTAAGCTAAGCTAACTGCCGGTGGTAGATTTATATTTAGCGTACAGACACAAGAGTGGTATTGATCTTCTCATTTAACTCTCCAAGAGAGCAAAAAAGTGTATTTCCCATTAAAACAAAACACTGTCTACATTGCACCATAGGTTACTGCCGTACTGTCGACATGTTGCAAACAGTTCAAACAATCCTACAAACTGTTTCATTTGTTGGATTAGATAAATTAGGTAAAAAGTATCCAGTATTTCTCAGAAAAACTACAATAATTATAGAGAAATCAGATAATAAAATAATTGTATGCAACAGAAATATGGTTCTGATGAAATCAACAGTTAAAAACAATAACCATCATATAAGACATGTTAATTACAGTAAGAGCAGGATACAGATAGATATAAGCAGAACACACATGGGCAGCAATAAAAGCCATACATCTATCAATGAAAGTGTACAGATATAATTTCCATTCGGCTCAGATTGGATCACAATGCAAACCTCCAGATGTGGTCTGGTGGATCTGAATGCGTTTACACCTGCATTAACATTCCTGATCCAGACAAGACATCCGGGCCGCATCTGGATATGAGGTCTGTTTTATTGCCCTGTTGCTGCTCATTGTGCTAACTGTGCTGCAGGTAATCATGTGGGGTGGAGCTGTCACATCAGTGCATCTGTGAGCACCTGAGCCCAGTGCTGCTCAGACTCTATCTCAGCTAACAGGGCGCTCTCTCCGTGTGTGGCTGTTTGGTTTCTTTATTCACGCACCCCATTCCTCACCCACCAACTGACTTCACTTCACTAAAAGACAATTCTGGGCTCAATATGCAACACTACACGAGTAAAACATGCTAAACTACATGATAACCTTTGCAGAGACGTGTTGTTATTCAACTGAATCACTGGAACATGAAGAGTTTGGGAATTTCACCTTCAGACTTTATGCTTTAAATCAGGGGTCTTGAACTGCCGGCCCCTCCCATCCCCCTCCATCCGGCCTGCGACATCAAAAGCTGAACTGCAAAGTATTATTTCTATTTCATTTTTTAAATTGTTCCATATGAATTTAAACTAATACAATTAAAATAAAAACAAAATTGTGTTTTAGAAATGTGTGTTAGTTTAAAATAATGGCAAAGGTCAAAGGTGCACACGTTTAATAAGAAAAGAGCAGGCGAAGTATAAACTGATACAGACTGATATACGTAAACATGCTGTTTGCAGTTATTTTGTCATGTATGATGGAGTATTGTACGTACACTATACTTAACATAGTATGTGAACGTTGAAGTGGCCCTCCTATGATAGTACAATACCAGAAGTGGCCCCAAGCAACATTTGAGTTTGAGAGCTCTGCTTTAAATCGAATGCAGAGAAAACCTCAAAAATCTTAAACATCAATCTAAAGTCTTGACTTCAAACCGTAACCTGAAGTCCAAATCCTGCTCCCTCTAAATAAACCAGAATCTTAAAAACTTCAAATTAAATCTTAACCCTAAATAACTCTAGACCCAACACATCTCAAACCCTAAACCCAACAAATAAACACAGAAACCAAAACCTTCAGTCTAACCTGAAACCTCAGGTCTAACCCTAACTCCAGACTAGAGACCTTAAATCTTCACCCAAAACCATCAACCCCACACGCCTTGAATCTTAAAATTATAACCTTAAAGTAATCCCTGAACTATAAGGTTTACATCCACAGTGCCACCAGCTGTAAGTGCTTTTAAGCAAGACCCTGAACCTCCACAGCGGCACCAGGGGCAGTGATTGCACTGTGACCCTGACCTCTGGCCCCTCTGGAGACACACACATGTAATAGGGTCATATGTGTGGACAGAGAGCACGTTGACGATACAATTATATTCTTTTTCCTTAAAATTTAAACACAACAAAAAGCTTAATCCTCCAAATGAACCCTACATTTCAAATTGAAGCTGAACTAGAAACTGAAACCACCATCAGGCTGACCAACTTCAAAACACAGTGGCGTCGGTCGACCCTATTCAGGAAGCAGGTTTGTCCCTCATAACATTATTTATTGTTGACTGTTGTTGAAGCCTGAGCAGAACCAGAGCTGATTTGGTGGGAAAGGGGAACTCTTGGTCACTTTTCTGGTCTAGAACACGATGAAACTCCCACAAAATCTTTTCCAATTAGCCTTTTTAATGAAAATATTTGTTTCAGAATAGTGATGATCATTAGACACAGTCACATTAAAGTAAGTGTGACACATATTTAATAGTAAGATAGATATTCCTTTATTTGTCCCACAATGGAGAAATTCCAAAGATGTTCCTGGATCAGCACCAAAACTCACAATGTGTTCCCTGACCCAAAGATTCCAACACACTTGGAATCTCTTCACAGGTTTTAGAGAGTATCTCACTCACTAATAACCGAGGAATGGGACCGCCTGGTGACGTAAATGCATATTTACTCAAGTACTGTACTGAAGCGAAATGTTGAGGTACTTTACTTGAGTATTTTAAACTGCGTTATACTTTTACTTCACTGCATTTCAGAGGGAAGAATTCTACATCTTCATTATTTATTTGACAGTTGTAGTTAATTTAAAGATCAATATAATACCATCCAGTAACATAATAAATGGTAACTCTGACACTTGACCTCTTTGTTGATAATATCTCTGTACTTCTACTTAATGATAAATGCAGGACTTTTACTTGTGATGGAGTACATTGTTGCATTGCTACTTTAACTTAAGTAAGAGATCTCGATTCTCCTTCCGCAACTACGTCAACATGTGACGCCAATATCAGTGTGTCAGTGTCAGAAATATGCCACGAGCCCGTCTGCGTCTGAAGTGACCCCACATTACCCGAGAACCTCCTTCATGAACCCAATGATGTCTTCCAATGAAGTCCTCTGAGGACTTCAAATGTTCTTATGATGGATTTAATATGACACACACACACACACACACACACACACACACACACACAACAAGCAGAGATACAGAGCACTACGCCCCATACAGATAATTATATTTCCAGTACTATTCTCTGTGGACTGTAATGTTGGACTGCAGAGCTTTGCGTGGCTCTGACACACACACATACACACACATACACACATATGCACACACATACACACACCCACAGGACGTTACTCAAGCTGGTGGTAATTTCATTCAGATGCTCTGTTCTCTTGGTGTGTGTGTGTGTGTGTGTGTGTGTGTGTGTGTGTGAGGACAATGGTAAAAGCTAAGACACTTTGAAGCATGTGGTTGCCATCTAGTGGCTGATAAATGTAACTGCTACTCAAATTATCATCATTATTATTAGGGATGAATTTAGATGACAGAGAAACTTTCATTTTTCACGTCATTTCATCATCTTTCAACTACAAAATACAACAGTTAAACCAGGTTAATATACTTGTATTTTAGTGATTTCTTGTTAGTTTGATTTATGAAGATTGAAGGGACATTTATCAGGGTATCAGAATTCCTTCTCACATCTCCCTCTGAAAAGACATACAGACATGCATTTGGTCAGAGGGGTCAGAGGTCAGGTAGGAGCCACACCTGACCTCTGGGGTTCACAAATAGTTTGGAAGTCAATCCTGGTCCAAAATGCAACTTACACAAGTGGGATGTACAAACATGAAGCTCCCAGTGTTCGTAGACTGAGAATGGATATTAGTATATTCATAGATTATGGAATTTAATGAGGTAGAAGGATTTTAATGTGTACATTATACTTTTTTTGTGGAACAAACATGTCAGACACATTATTGTTTCAAGCAGATTAGTTTATAATTGTCTTAGTAGACTTGTGGTGGGGGTCTTTGATGTGGTTCTTCCAGTAAGTGACATTTGGGAAGAAGATGTGAGTTCAGTTTCCTTGTTTATGACAATGATAACTGAGTCACAGTCTGCGATGGTGACTTGACTTTGACTCAAACACTGACTGAGTATATCTGATGTCTCAGCTCTGATCAGAGCTGTTACTCACAATGGAAACACACAATCAGCCTCATCACAGTTAGGTCATTAGTTAACTCTTAATCAACCAAGAATTTCTTTATTTACAGCACTTCAAGGGAGGAGATCTACACAATAACGAGGAGGCAGACGGTGGAAGCTTGTGTATTTAACATTTATTTTCTGTCATTTTAAAAACTGTTTGAGGACAATCAAAATATAAATACATTTCTCTCTCACACTCATCCACCCACACACACACACACACACACACACACACACACACACAGCAACTGGCATCAGAACACACACGCACACACAACCCCTGCCCCTGATTTAGATGTTAAAAGGTGCAACGACCAACCATCAAGAACAGACTCATCAGGACTCATCGTGATCCAACTGCACCATCCAGAGTTCAGAAACCATTTGAACACAGAGAAAGAAGAAATATTGGACAGTTTGTGTCTCTTTACAACCATAATACTCTTATACTTGTTAATGTGACCTGCAACAGTCACATGAGCTTCAGTCTCGGTCCCACTGGACCGACATCATGATGACATAAGCTGCTCCTACATACTGTATTTGTCACCCGAGTGAATCTACAGGAGTCTAACTGAAGTTAAGTGTTGTTAAAACCATTAAAAAAAAAAAAAGAGGTTTGGTTCAGTGCTGCAAGGTCTAAGTGTGTGAGATTTTGTATTTTAAGTAATAACCTGTGACATATTTAGAATAAATGTACATCATTTCCAGGATATAATCTTCAAGTGGGCAGGAAGTGAGTTGTTTTTTTTGTTGTTTTCTGTTTAGACAGACAGAAACAGAAGAACTGGGACATGGTGATCTACCACACACACACACAGAAAAGAGCCACACGTGGAGAAACTCATCAAAACACGTCCTGCTGCCTTTGACTGACAGGTGATTAGTAGAGTGAAGTGTGGACCACCAGGTTTTGCATGTTTTAGCCAGATCTTTTGTTTAAAGATATACATTTTTAATTCTGTCATTTCAGCACTTTCAACTGCTTTTTTCTTTCTCTTTTTCTTCTTTCTTTCCAGGAAGAACAAGCTCCAATTATTGAATGACCAACCTTTTGTTTCCAGTCTTACTGACAAAAAGCAACACCAGAGAGCTGTCATTTGGAACAGTGTACAACTATTTCGATAATTCACTTTTTTCATTTTTAAAAGAAAAAAAAAAGTCCCAAATGTGGAGATGTGTTGCTCTTCTTTTTATATCTTTATACCTGAATATCTTTGGGTTTTGAGCAGTTGGTCCACTAACGACATTGTCACCTTGGGCTCTGGGACCTTGTGAGGGGCTTATTTACAACCTCATCTGACATTTGATATATTATATAAGATTAATGCATCATAAAAATAACTTGCAGTCCCATTTGCTCCAGAGCTAACTGAGAAAAGCACCAGTGGCATTTGGTATTAGACAGACCGACAGTGTGGACTGCACTGATGCAAAACTGACTGTTATCAGTAGACTCTGACATTTTGGATTTCCAATCGTCCTTGAACACCTCAATAATTGAAAAAGAAAAAGCTAACTTTGGAATCCCGATCTGTAAAATAGATGGTAAATATAAACTATGTTTGATTTGTAATGAATGGGTCAGAAAATGCCAAACATCTGTGTGGTAGTTTTTGGAAAAATTCCTTTTAACCAACAATCTCACCCGGCTGGGTCTGTGTTTCTGTCTGTCTAACACTCAGGACGGTCGACATCGGCTAAAAATAAACACAGAGGGGCGAAGATCAAACCGGCAGAAACATCTGGGTCTCACATGGTGACTCAACACGTGAGTCAGGAAGAAAGTCAGAGTCAACCCCACGTTTACACACTGTCTTCTTGTGGTCTGGAGCTTCCTGCTGCCTCCCTGTCGGCCCCTGTCATTAGCCGACAGCTTCTGGATGGGAATAACACTTCTGAGTATCACAGGGCCACAGGAGGAGCACCATCATCTGAAACAACTGGTTGTGTTATGGTTCTTTAACATTCCCCAACTCCCACAGACCAAATTAAAAAAAAAGCAAAGAAAAAAACAATCCATTAGCATATCGTTTAACAGCAGTCTAAAAAGGGCAGATTGTGTTCCATTATCCCAAAGAAAGAAAGAAAGAAGCAGAATAGAAGCAGCCCTTTTCCCTATATTAAAAAAAAAAAAAAATCTCATCAACTTAATCTGAATGTGTTTTTAACACTGACACAGTGCAGTGCAACACTCGATCTGGTAGGATTCATATAGCGTTTAGTCGTTTTCCCTCCTTCCTCTGAGGCAGTGCTGGATGTGTCTGTACAGTATTTACACTCCTGAATACACAACGAAAAGAGGTAAAATCAAAGCAAGAGTTCATTTCCAAATCGCCGCATGAACACATTAAAGGAAGGGTCAGTCCAAGGGTCATTTTGTCAGTTAGGGAGGTAACTTCCCCTAAAACAGGGCCGGAATTTGCATTCAATTATCTGGTGGCAATCAATTTAAAACATTGGGTGTCAGGAAAAGGGAGGATGGACGCAGAGGACAGGGGAGGAAGAAAAGCAGGGCTGAAAGCTGTGTCACTGAAATCACAGTGATTTTTCTGATCGGGGTTCATGTTCATATTCCGAGTTGAACGAGCCGAAGTTAAAGCTGGGGGACGAAAGAAACTGACCCACATTTTGGCTGCGGCTCGTCGGTTTTACCTCAACTGACGCTTAAAACACTGAAGGAATTTGGCTTGTTAAATGTCTGGCTCCATTCACACTGCAGGACTTCCATCAGCTTCTGATTGTGTCAAATCAATTAGTCACCTATTCAGTCTTAAAACCACCATTTCTCGTACATGTCTTTATGGAAACGTCACCCAAAATCTTTCGTTTCAACTGCTCACAACTCCCGGATGGTTACTTCCTCACATTCAAAGGGAACAGTTTCTCCTCAGTTTGTCAGAGACTCAGTTTCACAACAGAAACACGATATCGAGCTGGTTCTTAAGCTCCTTTCAGATCCTGCTTGAACACTTGTCTTTATCTGAGGGACTGGAGTTTTATTCAAGGTTACTGTATAGATCAAGTAAACCCAAACGTGACAAAACGTACATAAAGAGTGTGTGTGGAGAGAACTTAAAGAAGATGGCAGGCAACACACACACACACACACATCCCATGAAAAGACCGAAACCAGCAATGTTCTCAAGCTCACTGGTTCCTTCTGAAGATGTTCGGGATGTTTTTCTTAAACAGCTGCTCACTGTAGTTTTTAGGAGGGAATAGTGCATTTATTGGGAACTACTTTGAGCTGCGGATTGATCTATGTTTGGTGCTGTAGTGAGTGTCTCCAGCAGCAGGACGGTGTATGTGGTGACTGTACTTGTATTAGTGTTGATGGTAATGAAGGGACATGTCACCCAGTTTAACAGTGTTTTTGGACAACAGTGGAGCTCGATGTCAGAGGAATAAGAGAAATCTGGCTCTGGATCAATTCTCTGGTGGGTTTTTTCATGGGATTTGTTGACAATAAGAAAAGTATAAAATATCAGCAGACTTATCCTTAAAACCCAAACAATCAACTTGTGATCTCAATAAATGTTACTACATTGAGATCACAAAGTAACTGTCTTGTAATAATGAGGAAACATTATTAAGGTCCTATCGCGCTTTCTGTGATTCTGCTTAAAGATAAGAGTACAAACATGTTTTTAATCAGTCCAGGTGATAAGAAAAACTAAAGATTTTGGGTGATGTATTCCTTTAAAAAACCTCTGTGCCCTCTCATCCTCGCCCCTCTGGAGCGAAGGCTCAACCACAAACATTCAGCGAGGCGAACTGGGTGCTGACCGATGCCGAAGCGGGGCGTAAACAGGAGCGAGGGAAAGGAAGTTCCCTCTCTCCACGAAGAAGCTTCTAGAGGCTGGGTCTGAATTAACGAGGCGTCCCCTGGTCCGCTCGAGTTCAATCTCAAAAAGTCGATGTCTGATTCTGACTCTGTCCTGTTGGCATTGAATTTAACAGTGGGAGAGTGAAATTCCAAACAAAAAAGGCCCACAAGTTCCTCTCCAGTGCTTTTCCACCACGAAAAGAGAGACAGAGGAATTAAAGCCTTGGCTGATTTAAAACCTCTCCGTCTCTCTCTGTCATTCTCTCATTCAATCTGACAGAAGACAGAAAGACTGAAGGAAAACAAACTGCTTGATTCTGTTTCCACACTTCCCCCTCGGTCTGTCTGTCCCTCTTCTTTCTGTCTCTGTGTCCGTGTCTTGGTCTGTGTTGCACCGTGGAGGCCAGCGGGGGGGGGGGGGGGGGGCAGAGGAGGCGCTGTTAGGACGCCTTGCCCAGCTCTATCTTCTTCTGGATGACCCGAGCCGAGTGGTAGATGAGCGAGTCGATCAGACCGGCAACTGCGGGGAGTCGAGCGGACAGGAAATGGAAGTAACAGAGAAAGAGAGTCAGATTTCATCCATCTCTATCCTCATTAGTCTGCAGTCTATTAGCAGGAAACACACAAAGGGACTGACCTGTAAATACACCTCCGATAATGGCACAAACTCCTGTTAAAAAGTGTGTGAACGATCTGGAGAGAGAGAGAGAGAGAGAGAGAGAGATATGAATTAATTCAGCATTAAGATTTAAATAAACTCACTTTTATTGCCATAACTGTGACAGATTATTTAAATATTATTTTTAAATCTATTATTTTATGTATCCCTTTATATTCTGGTTGTTAAATCTATTATCTTATGCATCATTTATATTCTGGCTGATTCAGAATTAGCAAAGTATTCAAACCTGAAAAATTCCTTATTTTACAACGGGTCGAACCATTACATTGACAATGTCCATGTCTTAAATACTCCAAATTTAAACACCCGTTCACAAATACGGTCTCAAAGACATATAATAGAAGAAATGCGGAAGATGAGAAGGTTTTATGTTTCAGACTTGCAGGATCAACAGCCGACAGTGTAACACACGTTGTGAGACAAATAAACTGCGAGGCTATGAGCTCTCGTCTGTACAGGAGTTGAACAAGCAGCAGGAAATAGACGGTTTCAGCTTCTATTACAGCGTCAACGTCAACTGCTCCATTTAAACGAGAGGCTAATTAAGTCTCTACAGCGCTGTCAGCTGACAGCGTTTACTAGGTGAAGTCCTCCGTTGTGTCCTACCTGTGTTTCTCTGTGAATTTAACCATCATGGGTGACAGCTCATATAAAACAAACACGCCCGGCAGCCCCTGATCTCCTATTAGCCCGTTGGCTACTTTCTCGTGCCTGGTGACTGAGAACTGGTTTGTTTTTACCACCTGGAAAATACAAAAATGACAACAAAGCATTGTTTTAGCCTGAGTGAATGTAGCCTGGTACAACCCTCCAGTGGAAGATCAGATGAGGAAAACTCAGTAAGACAAAGACAGATAATGAATGTTTGCTTTCACACTTTGTCACATTAACATCTCTCTGAGAAGGTCCAGAAGGAAAGAGTAACTTCAGGGAACAAGGACTCACCTCTCCATCAGTTTTCACGTAGATGGTGGGAACGATTTTCACAAAATACTGGTACATCATTGATGCTGTGGGGAGAAAATAAAGGAAATCTTAATATGAATGCAGACACACAGAAAACACTTTATTACTTTTTTGATTAACTAACTGTCGCTGTCTGATCCTGTTGTGCTTCTTTATTATATTTATTTAGTTGTTTGATCTATTTCACTGCTATTTTGGGTAGAGTGAGGGCAGAGAATATGGTTTTATTAATTTGTTTCTTCTTTTATTATGTTAAATTGACCGAAAAATAAAAAAAGCTATTAATAAACCATACCTAACTATCAGACCAGAGTATAAAAAGTAGGATTTTAAGTAAGGAATAAATGGATTATTACAGCAGTGAGGTGTGTTAAGGAGTGTTATGAGACAAATAAAAAGAATGAAGCATTATTATTGATACGCGACGTCAGGCTGTTGTACTCCAGTTTAATCTACTCTAATAAAACAGCTCGTCTTCGGATCAATTGCTATATGATTAAATAAAATCTTAAATCAATAAAAACACAGTTCAGTATTGGAAGTGGGTTAATTAAGGTGTATATTTATTTATATTTGGTCATTAATTAGTGGTCTGAGAGAGCTCTCAGAGACCACTCATGAATAATAATAATTATTATTAAAATGTAAATATATGTAGTAATAAAATTAACCACTGGCGGGCGCTGTTGGATTTTCTCCTCCACCTTTATTTCCCCTCGTTGTCTTCCTCCTCTATCCGGTTATGGAGGACTGCTAGAGAAGACATTTAAACCCACCTGCGCTCGGATAAACTCCAGTCCTCCCGCTTTAGGAACCAGAATCCACACTCATTTTAAACCCACAGCTCAAGGTAAGCTCGAGTTCCAACCGGCTCTCTTCGGTAACGCGTCCCGGCCAGAGTCACCGACCGTCGGCGACGTAAACCGGGTTTATCGGTCAAGGCCACCGGTGACGTTAGTTAGTTAGCATCGCTAAGCTATCACAACACGATGTAACACAGACTTAATTATGTAAAATAACTTATATATTAACAGTTACAGGCTCAACGACTCAATTTAATCATTAACCTTAACTGCCAGATGTCTTTAATTAAACCAGTGTTTATAACCAACTGTATTGCATTGTCAGCCGAGGATTACCTAACGTAGTAACTCCGTACTAAAGGTCAAATGTTTGATTTTGAAGCTACAATTTCTACATTTAAGTTTAATGGAAGAACAGAGTTTACTCCAATAAGTCACTTAACACATTAAAACTGCTGTATTATTAAAGCAAACTCACAAAAAGGCCCCCTCATTGTGGATATAGTGTTAAAATAGCTCCAGGAATATGTCATTGTGTAAATATCTGCATTGTGAGGTTGCTTTTCTGTGTTCATATGATGAAGTATTAAGTGGCCCCTTGTTTCCTGTGTGGGGCTCAACATCAAGTAGTAATCCATTTTAAAAAAGGCCCTTATCATGACTGTCTATATTCAGTTTTAGTAGAGCATACTCCCAAACTGTGTTCTAGTTATAAACATTTAATAAAAAGGGGGCTGGGCATCGCTTCTTGGCAGTAATCTCATTGTGAGGAGCCAGACTGGATCATAATGTGGTCTGGCTCAGTATTTAGTTCATCGTGCTGTCAGATCACACTGTATCTGTAATCTCTTCCCTCCCCAGATGCCAGTGGCTGTAGGTCCATATGGCCAGACTCAGCCGAGCTGTTTTGACCGGGTCAAGATGGGGTTCATGATGGGGTTTGCAGTAGGAATGGCTGCTGGCGCCATGTTTGGCACTTTCTCCTGTCTCAGGTAACTATGGACTTTGTGTACATCCAAACTGTTTTACCTTTTTTTGTTTTAGAAATATTTATCTACTGCATTCATATAAAAAAAACTGAGCCAATCAGAGCATTGTAGGCAAACATTTACATAGATCTACATAGTTCTTAAACTGAATCCTTTAAAAAAAGTGTGTACAATTATTGATAAGCCATATTAACCGAGTTATCTGACAGTTATTTACATGTTAGTCTACTTTTCTGGCAACCTTCAGTTCAAATAGTCTGTAAACTGCTTCAGTTCAGACACAAAATGAAAACTGTCTCTGCTGTTTTTTAGGATCGGCATGCGTGGCAGGGAGCTGATGGGAGGAGTAGGGAAGACTATGATGCAGAGCGGAGGGACGTTTGGCACCTTCATGTCCATCGGTATGGGCATCCGCTGCTGAGGAGGAGGAGGACGAGGAATAATAATATCCTCCACAACACAACACAACACAACTGTACAGCTATGGGACTCTTCCAGTAACCTTTACCACCGCTCTCTGTCTGCTCGATGCTGTCACACTCTCTACATTCGACCGTCTAGTTTTGTCAATAAAAGTTCAGTTTGTCAAATGGCTTTCGGAGTGGGTGTTACACTTTCTGATGTCCTGCTCAGAGAAACGGTCGCAAAATGTCAGATTTTATCTTGAAGGAAAACTCCTCCTGCAGACACAGCACGCCACTTTGCTTAATTCTACATTGGTCTCTTGTCCTCTGTATCTTCTCTCTGATTGTTATACATTGGTGCAAAATGTAGCTACGGACAGATGCTCTTACGCTCCAGTTCTGAGGGTCTGACTGTAAAACCTAAAGTTTCAAATGTATGAAACTGGCCTGGTCAAATCTCTTTTTCTATTTGGGTTAAACTCTTATATTCAGCCCTTGAGCCAGAAGCGGAAGCAGGTACAAGGTCCGGTGCAAATGTGCATTGTTATGGATACTGTTATATTACTGGTTATATAGTACATAAAGGCCCTTCCCTGTTGCTCATGTGCAGTAGACGGGGACAGTTCACATGGTCATAATTTGTGTGTGGTCCTCAAAGATATGATGAAATGAAACTACTGACCTTGTGGCGCTGTGACGTCTGTCTCGTCCAGAGGGTTAACGATGCCGGGGTAATCTTTACCAAACGACAGGTGTTTTATCAGATGGGTCATGTTAATCTGCAAGACGATGGACAGAATGATTAGAAGTTGCCACAACTGTCGTCTGAAGACTGAATGTTTGTCACCTTTTCTTGACATTATTAAGAAACCATTAATACAGTTTGATTATTACCTAAAAGTCAGCTCAGGTTTACATAACCATTTGTTCATATAGGCAGCCTGAGCTACAGCACTGAACGGCTGCACCTGGCATGAACATCGCGTTTACACCGAGAGCGTGGCTACTGCTGCCAGCCCCATCTTTCTATACTGAGTCTGCCTTTGATCAATACAATACAATACAACACAACATGAGTGGATTCTGTCCACGGCTCTAATCTGGTAACATGGGAAATAAAAAGCAAGACGCTCCGCCACGCGCTGCTCATGTAGGCTGTGTTATTTTAATAAAATTATACAAACTTTTTCTATGCAAACAAAATTCAATCTTTAAATAGGCAAAGAAATAATAGATCTCTTGCAATCATTTTTTTTTAAATACGAAGATACAGAAAATATCTGAGTTACTTACGTTGTCTAAGCCGAAACTCTGCAGGTCGTGTACTGCAAAACAAGAGACATAAATTAACTTGTTAAAATCCCAATGCTTTAAATACACATGGAGTTAAGACAAAGGAATGTATCTTAAGTTACAGATCTGTCACATATGTGAGTGATTGATCAGTTTGTGATTGATTATGGCCGATTGCTTCGGCTGTTCACTCCGGTCAGTTAATAGATGAAAGGCAGAAAATAAAGCTGAAGCCAACAATCACACATTCACACAAGTTCATGTCAGAGTTAGTAGCTGCAGGTCACATCTGTTCTCAGGGTGCAATGGCTCTGACCTTCGACCTCCCTTAAATGTTGGTATTCAGAAACATCCACGATGTCTTTAGTTTGAGACGTCTAATAAAACTAATTCAGAATGACTTCAGCACTGCTTTTATGTGAGATTAATTCATGTGCAGTAAACAGTGGCAGCCTTCTGACTGTCTGCACCTTCACACTTCACAAACCTGACCCAGCATCCCCTACCAAACTAATATTCAGTCTGATCTGGATAAAACTTTAGTTTGTAATAATGTAGATGAGTATATACACCTCCCAATTGATTTTGTTGCCAGAAATACAGTTGTGACACTGTCAGAAGTTCAGAAAATGTCTACAGATGCAGCACAGTGAGATCTACGGCTGATGTGAGTCTTCTAAATCAACACTGACCAACTCGAGAGAATCAGCTTTCTTAAGCCCTCTTACTGGTTTAATGAGTAGTATATAATGAGCATTAGTATGTATTTAGTCATATTAAAAGATACTAGATAAATATATTTGATTCCATATATATTCCACTTCCATTGATTACGAAAAGGAATCGGAACGAATTCGACCCGGTGGCAGGTATTAATGAGAACTTTAACTATAGAAATAGCCATATAGAGGCAACAGTATTACATTCAGACTGTTCCATATCCAGCTAAAACCTCCATGTAGCAGGTTTAAATTCAACCATTAAGTAATTTTCACTTCATACTACAAAATAATTGTATACTTGCAATACTTTTCCCATATCTCAATAAACAGAATACTATTTCTAAAATAATAAAAACTGCAAATAAAGATGCACTTACTTTCCACAGCGTGAACTGCAGAAAGAAGAGAGAAGAGTCACTATAATGATGCAGGTAGACAACAAACCATGTTATGTTAATGTGTGGGGAGGGTGCCAGTAGGGGCTGCACAACACTGACAGGATGCTTTTTTATTAAGACATGAACAGTGATGCATGAGGACGCAGCTTTTAAAACTTACAAAAAGTTTTTTTGTGCTCATGTTTGTTTTGTTTCAAAGTAATAAAAGCTCAACTGAAATGTATGAATGGCTTTACAAGGCTGAGATTTTACATAACAGCAGAATCTCTCATTGAGGAGGATTAGAGTTTTTCTGTGCCAAAGAAAAGATGAGATTTAAAAAAATAGTCTGTGTGACTTCTGTCAGGGTAATCGTGCAGCCCCAAACGCAGAGACAGTGTTTAACTCTTGAAGGTCAGTCCAGAATAAAGGGACAAAGATGCAGCTGGTTTATTTCAGACTCGTTTACAGTCAGATCCTCAGCACAAGTGATTCTTGTCTCTTGTTTCTGCTTCTAAGCATTCAAATTTAACGCCGAGCAAAATAAATGAATACATTCGATCAGATGAATTTATTTCTCATCACAGAGCCAGAGTTCAGAGGATGCTGTCAGACTGCAGCCACTTTCTAAAGTGATGCTTGAGTACCTGGAGAGTAATTTAACTTACTGGCCACATTCTCCATTTTAGTACCCAGAAGACTATAAATTGTGGCACTTTTTCTTCAGAAGTAGCTGTCAAAGATTTATTAAAGCTTTTGATGGCTGTTGTTAATTTCCTGCTCTGGTTTAATGTGCAGATGAGAGAAGCTTTTAGCAGGCAGACAGAACAGGACATTCCAGTCAAGACAATAACAAAGATCAACATTGACAGACAATGATGACGGTGCAAAAGTCAGCAACAGCAGTCAAAGGAAGAAACTAATTAAAGAGAGAAAAATGCAGCGGAGACACAGAAAATGTGAGGAAATTGAAGACTGGTGCGTAAAGTGTTTGCTGATGTATCAGATGATGATGACGAAACTACCAGAGCAGAAACAGTGAAGGAACTAATTTTATTTCATCATTTTGGTTTCAGTGTGAGATGCAGCTTCAACCTCTGGAAAAGGCAAGTAGAGCTTCAACTGAAGTTATTATTTTTTGAAGTTTCATGCAGAATACATGAACTCTTTTCCAAAACAAAGATCAAGAATTTTTCAACTGACTTCATTTTCAGTTTTCAGTGAAAAAAACTACAAAGGATGTTCTAAAGAAAAGTGTTCAAATACAGTCAAAATGTCATTTTTAGTGCACAACTGAAATCACGCTGATTAATTGTTGCTGGAAAATCTCAACATGCAGTCAGAAATGAGTGTGTGCAGCTGTGAGTTGTGAACAATGAATGTTTCATTAGTGGATGTGGTGACTGTGGATGATAGATCTATACTATGATGAGTGGATGAATGAACAGACACTGATAAACACTGAATAGTCAAACGTTTCTGAACACCCTTTATTTTAGCATTATGGGGTTAACCCATGCACTGAGAGGTGAATCTGATCGGGGAAATTAGATTCATCTTCCCTTAAATGTCTTATTTCATTGTCTTTTCACTGTTGTGGGGCTCTGCGTGTCTTGAACTTGAAGATTGGTAGGATTTGCATGACTTTGAGTGGAAAGAAGTTAACATTATTTGTAAACCATGGACAGACAAATCATTTCTACACAGCGTCCTGCTGCCCGTATACTCTGCATATACTTTAGAGCTTTAAGTTAGTCAGTGTGTCAGTTGGTTAGTCAGAAAAAGAACAGTTTTGTGTCATCAGGTCTATAAAACGTTCCTCTTTTTCTCTCATTTTCTATGACACTGAAACCTTATGCTGTGATTTAAGTCCCACTCAAAGACAACTGTACAGTGATGAAACATAGCACGGCGGCCCTGGACTACAGTCCCTGACCTCGGGTTATTGCTGAAACTAACACAGGGTGTTCAAAAACCTTTCAATGCTTCTGTGAGTATGCGGTCAGAGTGGATTTAAAGCTGGTCTTACCGTGAACATGAGACTGCTGGAAACTTTTTCCTGGTGCGAAGTGGAAATTTCCTGCAACCTGAGACACAAAGAGGAAGAGAGGGTAAATAAAATGAATCAGTACAGTTTCAGAGCCACTGTCAGGAAAACAAAACTAAGACATTTCTAGAATAAAGTTGTAATATCTGAGAGAGAAACATAATAACATTGCAAGAATAAATTCATAGCATTATGACAAGATTGTTGTATTTCAAGAACATTATTAAGCATTTCCTGATCCTTTTTACCTTGCAGAAGACATTGTTTTGGACTGCAGTCCCCTCCCTATGACAGTATACAGCTTTACAACATGTATATTTCTTTTCTTACAAGATAATAATAAGATAAGATAATCACAGTTTTGCTATCATTTTACAACTATTTCTTGTAAAATTATTACAACTTTAAGCTCATATCATGACCACCTTTTCAAAATATTTTGATTTTAGAATTTCTGCCTTTCATTTACAGGTTAAAATCTCTTTAATGGGAGAAGAAAGACAGAAGGAGGAACAAGTGTGTGCACATCCAGTCCAAAATATTCTGGTGCAAGACAAAAAAATCATCTCACTGCAGGGCACAAAGGAGAACAGTCTGCACACTGCTTGCCTCCAATTAATAGTTTAAATCTCTTTTCAAGGCAACATCTACAAGATCTTCCTCAGACAAGTGTCAAACACAAAACAGCATTTATTGTAGAGGCATTTTCCACAGACATGAAAAGGCATAGGCAAATAGACAAATGCCCTCCACCTCACGTGACTGGCCTTACTAGCTATACAACATTTTGTTCCACCAAAGAAAGGCATCCACTGACAACACATTTGGACATTTTTGTCCTTGATTTACTTGGTACTAACATGTTTGGGGAAACAGGAGTGTAACGGTCACTACTAACTTTATAATATAAAACGGTTCAATGCAAACATAATAATTATGACTTTACGCTCATATCATGACCACCTTTTCCAAATATTTTGACTTCAACTCTCAATCACTGCGTCAGACGTACGACAGTCGGTTATGTGTGGAGCAGGTGTTGAAGGAAAGAACACACACGCAAGAGCAGAAAAAAAAATCCAAGAGTAGTGATGACAGTCTGAGGAATGGTTCAAACATCGTGTGTGTTTGTTCTTACTAAGTCTTCTTTCTGAGTACCTTTTAAGGAACTATTAAATAATCTCTACTCTGCACTTGTTTCACTCGGTCTCTTGTAGATTACTACTTAATTCAAATCTCATAAAATGATACAAATGTTATTTTGAACCTTGACCTAAATCACAATGAGGTGAGTTCCTTTTGTTAGATACTTACATATCACTGAATTTTTATGATTTTACTAAAGTTTCAAATGTTCCTCTGAACATCTTTCCAACCCCAGCTGGATGTCCTTCAGACATTAAACAAGGCTGTTGCTCTTTGTTGAAAATAAGAAATATTTTTGGAGATCCACAGATAAATACCTTGTTGACCTCCAGGAAGCCGTAAACCTGGCAGCCTTCGTTCTTTTGCTCCTGCATCTTATGTGTGAAGCCCTCCCTTTTACACTGCTCGATGGTGTCGGCGCTCTTGAACGCCCAGCCTCGCCGCCGGTACGCCTCCCGCACGTCATCGCAGGTGTTACAGCATCTGTGCGCACACATCAAGGAGAAGCATGGCAAGTGAACACAGGAGTATACAGAAAACACAAAGACAGCAAAAGCAGAGTGTTGTCTGCGATGGCGTCTTACTTGAGGTCTTCAGTCTCAGCTCCGTAGCAGCTCTCACATCTGTTTGGGTCCAGTGTACTGGGGTCAAACACTTCGCCATCATCAGCCATACCGAGTTCTACACACACACAAACACAAAGAAAATCAATCAATCAATCAAATCACCATCATGATTATCAGCCAACAAACATGATTTTGTTCAACCTTTCAGTCTTCCAGATGCAGAGGCTCTGGCAAACAAATGCAGGGCTGCCCAGCAAAAACACTTGAACAACAGTGTTTCTACCTCACGGATGTATCACTCTACTCGCCGGTATCCATAGCAACCTGACTACATCAATGTTTTTTTTGCACCTTTTTTGGCCTGAATGTCTGCCAACAGCTGTAGATCAGCGTGCGGTGGTCAAATGTCAGAGTAAAGTCAGTGTTTACCATGTTTCTCTGCCTCAAGGGTGACAGGTTTAAGGTCTTTGTCCAGCCTCTGTTTGAACAGATTGTGTTCAACGTCCAACTGCTGCTCGCCGGCCACGTCCATTGCATCTATACTGAGATCTGAGCAAAAAGAAAAAGAATGGGGGAAGGTGTCAAGGTGTGAGGCTGTTTATAGTAAACATGTGTCATCATTAGCATGTCAGATTCATTGCTCTAAAGCTGCAGGTAACAGCAGTGTTACTCACAGGCGCAGGGCATGTGAGGAAACATTATGTCGATGTTAATTTTCAGTTTGTCTCCTCGCGACGTGTCGACGTACAGCTCAGGGTGAACCTGCAGGGAACAAACAGCACGGACACATTTTAATTCAGACATTCAGTCAAAACAAAAACACGATGCATGAAGATTTGAGTTATGACAGAACAATGCATCTCCCTATATTTTGTATGTACTTTTTGCTGTAAGGTAGAATTTCTGCCTTTCATTTACAGGTTAAAATCTCTTTAATGGGAGAAGAAAGACAGAAGAAGGAACAAGTGTGTGCACATCCAGTCCAAAATATTCTGGTGCAAGACAAAAATCATCTCACTGCAGGGCACAAAGGAGAACAGTCTGCACACTGTTTGCCTCCAATTAATAGTTTAAATCTCTTTTCAAGGCAACATCTACAAGATCTTCCTCTGACAAGTGTCAAACACAAAACAGCATTTATTGTAGAGGCATTTTCCACAGACATGAAAAGGCATAGGCAAATAGACAAATGCCCTCCACCTCACTTGACTGGCCTTACTAGCTATACAACATTTTGTTCTACCAAAGACAGGCATCCACTGACAACACATTTGATTTACTTGACTTGATTTACTTGTACTAACATGTTTGGGGAAACAGGAGTGTAACGGTCACTACTAACTTTATCTGATAAATATAAAACGGTTCAATGCAAACATAATAATTCTGAATATTCAAATTGTTATGGCGAGTAAATCAAGATTAAGAACTACGAGCAACTGATTTCCCAGTTGTGCGACACTGAGCCTTCAGCAAAACTGAAGTCAGTTCCACTGTTTGTGTGAGCGGACTCATCAGACCGGTCTAACAGGAACTGTTTCCTGAAGGCTGCTTAATGTCGACAGGCAGATAAGATAAGATAAGATAAGATAAGATAAGATGTTCCTTTATTGATCCCCGTAGGAGAAATTCAGGCAGCATTATTATTGTATATTAGCATTATCATCATTATATTAATGTTGATGATCATTTATTAATCTGTTACTTTCGTCAACTGAAAAATAAGAAAAACATACAAACTTGGGAACAAGCTGGTAAGTGGACATTTTACAGGGTTTCAGCAGAGTCCACCAAGTTATAGTTAAGACTTTAAGGGTTAGGACCCTTTTAAGGCCACATAGAATTCAATTTAATCCTTAAAGAGCTGCACTTATTTATTACGTATACTCATTTATTGACATGGTAAATGCAGCCATTTATATTTACATCACATTTGTCAGCACTTTGCAGCTGTTTATCAAATAATTCCTTGTAACATAATTATTGAAGAACCCAGGTACTTGCTAGAAAATTGATGGGTTGAGTAAGCAATCAAAATGTTTTGCAGCAAAATCCGCTTTGAAAAAAACAATCCAACTTCTCCCAACAGCCCAAAAACACATAGAAAAAAACAACTATTGTTACTATCAGGCAGGAAAAAATATTACAATTACAATTTTAATGTAAGACTCTAATACCTTCTCAGGCCTTTTTTTTTTTTTTTGGAGTGAACTAAATTGAATTCTTTGTCAGACACCCTGTGGTATTAACAGTGGACAAAATATCACCTGCTTATGTGTAATTTATATAATCAATAAAAGAGACTGTAGACACGTTGGACTGGCCTGCCTATTATCCTCTGCATTAAGCATCAAATTGAATTCCACCTGCCGCCTTCTGCCCATTGGAGGAGGATATCAAATAATCAGGTGATGTGGATGAACTCACCTCTTTAGTCAGATAGTACTGCAGCTCGGAGACAAACAGGATTAACATGATGACACCGCTGATGATGGTCACTGCGGAGACACAGAGGAAGAGTGTATGTTAGAAATCACAAGAATTCCTCGTATTCCTGGTTCAAACTGTGAGAGCGAGAAGTTAAAAGGAAAAATCCCTTAGATAGTTTATCATATGCGAGAAAGAAAATGTTTTCACCTTTTAAAAGACACTATATTTAATATCATAAATAAACCTGATATTGTTAGTTTAAGTGGCTTCAAGGGTTGTTTTGAGTTTCTATCTGAGTCAAGAAAATTATTATGAGAATGATTATTCACAATTATTGTACTGTCAGTATTATTGGACATTGACTATACAGTCAGCAGATAATACAACATTAAAAACATAAATAAAATCACTAATTCCTTAAAGACTGAATCATTTAAGTGTCCACTCTTCTGTGAGAAATCTGCTATGATGTTCAACAGTAAAGAAATCCAAGACACATTAACAAAACCAAACTTTAAAAATGGTTGAAACTTTAATCAATTAAGCTACAGATTATTTTTGTGTCTATCACAAGTTTCAAGATCTCCAATTTGCGTCTTTACGTGTCTTGTTTTGTTCGACCAACACTCCAAAACTCAAAGATATTCAATTCTCAGTGACATAAAACATAAAATCAACACATCTATACATCTGAGAAACCGGTAATCAATTTCTAGAACGATTAAATCAGAAATGTTGTTAATTATTGGATGATGAATCAATTCATCATTTGAGCACAAAGTGAAAAGCTTCTTAGAGGTTCAGTAGTAATAAGGCTCACAACCAACGTATGTCACTCTCCCTGTAAATGAACTGACAACCTAAATATCATCAAGTTGGTAAAGTAAAAACATCAAACAGCAGCAGTTTGGTTTCTCAATAAACAGAACATTAACATATTTTATGATTCTTCTTAGAAAGGGAGTCATTTGTATGTGAAAACTAGTTAATATATGGACTTCATCACAAGAACTCTTGGTCCTGATCCCGTTAACTGGGAACGAGCTGGACTTTTGCCGGGTCAGGCTAAAGGATTTATTGTCTCATGATAACAGGTTCAGATTAAATTAAAGCAAGCGTAGCTGTTTTCATTGCATACATTTACACTATATTGTAATTAGTGTGCTTTTTATGATTCTATTGTTAATGCAATTATTATGGTCTTCACCTCCATTTCTGTTATATATATTCATAGCACTGTATCTTTACTGTACAGTGTGTGCATATGAGATATAATGCACATATACCATACATAACATTATATATATAGTATATTATTATGTATATTGTACTTACTATGTCCAAATCTTTATACTTAAACAAAATCAGTATACAGTTCATGGTTAGTTGCACAACCGGACTTCATTTGCACAAATATAAAATATTCTTTAATGTCACCTTTCTAATTTCTTACTTTATTTTTAATCTATTGCAATCAAATGCTTTATAGTTAATAGTTCATTCAAATAGCTTATCCCCTCTCTGTGCTGCAGTAGCATGGGAATTACCCATTTGTTGCAAAAAATCACTGATATTTAGAGAAAATATGCAGTAAAATCCCCAAAAAAGGTTTGACAATGAATCTCCTGTTTCTAATTTCTATCTCTATGTGCATTTCTTTTTTTTCCTCTCTCACTGAACTGTAAATGTTAAAGCTGTCGGTCCCGCTGCTGTTCAGCCTTTACTCAGCGCTGTGAGGATGAGGTTATATAATATATATTATATTTCATATCATTTAAAAAAATAAATAAAATAAAAGGAGAAATGGTCCAGTTCGCCTTGTTGTTAGCCGCAGCAGCTAACAGCCTGTCTCGGGTAAATGAAAGCCTCTCACCGGTCGCTCCTCCCCACGTCTTCACTCGGAAATCCTCCAAAGTTTTGGGATAAGCGTCAAATTGTTTCAGTTTGTTTAACGTGTCCATTTTCTCACGCAGGAGAGCTCAACACAAACGTTACCGACAGATTCCTGCACTCCAGACACACATCAGTCCTCCGCTTTCACTTCCGGGACACACGCCGGGGCACGGCTCCACCAATCAGCGCCGGCCGCGTAATTTTGTCTGCTTTTTTTTTTTTTTTTTTTTTCTCCTTCGGAATAAAAGTGGGAAATAAAAAAGGAGAAAAAGTAATAAATTAAAAAGGAGAAATAAGATCCCGTAAAACTCACGTTATATAAAGCACCGTGAAAAAAAAAATTGTAAATACAGTTATTTTTTTAATTTCACAGGCATATGTTTATACTGTACACTTTATTTTGGTATTTATTTGACTTAAAGCTACCTGAGGAAACCTGAAATAAATAAAAATCAACAATATTATGCCTGCATAAATGTCACACTGGTAAATTGCACATTCCTGCAAACTGTAAAGTTCTTCATTCATTTATTTAAATAACAGTTATATTGTACATATTGTCTCTCTTTTTAGATTTGTATGTATTGTCTCTTTTTTCATCTATTTCTATTTTTATCTCTATTCATATTCTCTATGTTTACTGCAATGCACCAATTTACCGAGGCAAATTCCTTGTATGTGAAAACCTACTTGGCTATAAACCCGGTTCTGATTGTGGTTTGGGTGAATCTTTGTCTTAAATTCTCTCTTAAAAACTCTGTCAGTCTTTCAGTCAGCAAGCACATAACATAGCACTGCCTGTCTCAGTAACATCTGTTAACACTTGCCATAGTCACTTTTTTATTTGCACTATTGTACAGTTTTATACACACATATATATGCATATACACATGTATATAGTGTACATACAACTCTAATTCTTTTTACATTATATCCTGTAATTTTCTATTTTATTTAGCTATTTAATGTGTGTATCTGGAGCTGCTGTAACAAGTGAATTTCCCCAGTGTGGTATCAATAAAGTCTATCTCATCTTATATTATCTGCCCATAAAACAAACTGTGTATATAACAGCCATCAACCTGATACATCTTTATGACTGGATTATGCTGAAGTAATGCAAGGGAAACGAGATTGAAATACTTTAATTAGCTTTAATTAGTTTTAATTAGACTTTGTACAGTTGAGAGAATAGAAACCTATTCACATAGACACTTTACATAACAGAGCATTACACAAACTGATCCAGAGCAGATCTAATAACAACGTTTGATCTCTGAACCGATGAACCTTCAACAGTTGACATACTTCCTCAATTCCTCAATTTGCTTGACAGAGGAACCTGTTCATCCTGTTTCCTAAAAATCCTGATAATTACAGATTTCAAAAAGCCAGAAACAACCGGTTGGTCCAGTTATCACCAGGATCCTATGTGTACATTTGTTCTCTACAGTTATGTTTTAATGACATTTGGAAGGAAAGAAGAAGAAGTCCTGACATTCTGAGTTCATTAGCGTCACTCCTCGTCCTCTTCCTCAACCTCAAGCTGGAGACGGGAGGCGAGCCGCCGGGCGAGCTCAAGGTCACCTTGCACGTCTCGCTGGACCTTCAGTTGACCTATGACCTCGTGTCTGACACCGAGGTCAGCCACAGCCGTCTGGACCAGCTGCAGACGGGTTTCTCTGAGGGCACGCCTCAGCTTGGCCCGCCGGTTCTGGAACCAGATCTGACAGAGAGAGAGAGAGAGAGAGGGGGAAATTAATATGGCAGAGGTAGCACAAGAAGAGTCGCTAAGTGCATTAACTCCTTTTTTTGTCTTTATTTTATACTCTCACACTTTCCACCCTTTGTTTTTATTATATATATGATATAAGTATTTCTTAATTTAAATGATAAAGTGAGACCATTTAGCTGAATAACACTGATTGTGGCTACAAGCGTTTTTTTTTTTAAAGGACAAAAAAATCAATGCAGCACAACCAGAGACTATGTCTTTGTAATCCCTTCTTCTTTTTCTTTGTCAAAAAATGGCGCCTACTTTACCCACAGTCCAACTCAACAGCCTGCAATTTAGCTTACTATGCCATTTTTCTGTTGAATGCTCCTTTTTTGTCACATTGTTGGACTGGACCAGTGGAGCTCAGCTGACAATGGTTAATATTGTACTAATGAAAAGGTTTATTCTACGAAGCTGCCGTACAACGACTAGACATAAACAAGAAGCTTAAGCCGGAATTCAAAGTGCCTCAGCTTGTTTCCATAGTGATAACACAAACATTAATTTAATGCTGTATTACTGGAACAGAGAGGAAGTTTATGACAGCACCTTGTTTCTCCCATTGTATTCAATGGGATTGGAGTGGTATTAAAATGCTTGAAAAGCAAAAACTAATTAATTTTCTCATTTAAAATATATATTTTATATCTATATTAGATAATAATAATTTAGTACGCTTGGTGAGTCTGAATTCAGCTTTGTGGCTGGTGGTTTGCTGCACATGCAACCTCTATTGACTGACCGCCACTGGCAGTAATAGTCCCAATAAGACCTGTAAACTGACTTTGATCCAGACCACCATCATTGTGAACGAGAGAAGTGGGACAACAAAGACACTATTTTAGGGTCTTCAGCATTATTTTACACACATTTCCCCCAAAAATCAGCCTGATATATTTATTTGTTTCTTTGTGTTTGTGATTTCCACTGGTTCTTTGGCTCTAAACCAGGTTTTTAATGACTTTGCACAGTGGATTAATGAAGTTTAACAGATTAAAGAGAAGCAGCGGAGCTATCATCATTTCAGAATAAAATGCCAGAGTTAAATTCTCAGTGTGTCTGAACCTGTATTCGGTCCTCGTCCAAGTCAAGTCTCCCGGCCAGCTGCTCCCTCAGCTGGATACCTGGATAACAGTTCACCTGAAACACTCTCTCCAGTATATTCACCTGCACACACACACACACAAACACACACAGAGAGAGAGAGAGAGAGAGAGAGAGAGAGAGATTAACAGACTAAATACAAACCAGTATTTGTTTTCAGTGTTTGATGCTGGATGTCCTCAACCTCATTACTTATTTTGAACTAGAATAATACTTTGTTATGATCCATTTCCCTGAATGACTAATTGTCTGACTGACTGACTGACTGACTGACTGACTGACTGATTGATTGATTACCTGGCTGTTGGTAAAAGCAGTGCGCGGTCTGCGTCCGATGTACCAGTTTGATGTCGGTCTGGGAGAGTTCAGCTGCTGAGGATGATGATGTTGTTGTTGTTGACAACACTGTTGTTGTTTAGAGTAACTGCTGTGTCCTGTGTTCTCCTTCTCCGCTCCGATCTCTGGGTTCAAACATAAAAGAACAATCACACATTACACACCTTTCATAATCAAAATATGATAATCCATCAGTCCTATTAAATTAGGCTTTTATATTCTAGACCCAATAGATTTTACACACATTAACGTGCATTTTAAATACATTTAATTGGTTAACATTTGCCTCGGTTGTATATTGGATTATGGAACTGTTCGTATTTTTATCCAAAACAACAATTAATAAATAAATATTGATTTTATCCTTTAGGTTAATGAAACACTGAGATTAGTTTAGTTACAGTTCAGTTTAATGTAGCTGAATGGGATAATAGCGTGATCAATCATCAGAGAAACTGAATGAAAAAAGTTTAGAGGTTTCCTTTTCATCTGTTGTCTCAGAACAGCTTCTCAAATTAAATATTTGTTTCAAGACGCTGCAAAAGACCTGAACTTTAAACAGCCACAGCAGGTTGTTGGATTGGAGGGCTGGAGTCCAAAACCAAATTGTTAATTGAAATATTTTAAGTCATAAATTGTATTGAATATAAAAGCTAATTTAGCTTTTTAATTGTTAAATCAATAAATAACAATACCAACCTAAGAAGTCATGTAATTACAGAAGAGACCAAAAAACTATTTATTTTCAAAAAGCAACTTTTACTGTGAAAAGAATTACATCTATAAGTACCTTTATATACAGTTACAGTGCCGCATAAGAGGATTGTGGTTCTCTGTGTCATATACATTTATACCAAACTAAATGGATAATACTAAGAATAATACATTTGCTGTATCTCAACTGTGATTGCACATTTATTTTCTACAGCACACTCATCTACATGAGACAGAAAACTTGAATTAAATGTCTCTTATACAAGACAGCAAGGAAATACTTGGTCAATTCTATATTTCTACAGCACTAAGATGCACACAGTTCATATGAGACTGACATTTGGTGCTTCATCAATAAGAAACAGACCTGTCACCCTTTAACTAACTTAACAGAAAACAGTTCAAATGTAAAACTTTTGCTCCTCACCTGCCCAGGGTCGGTGGAGCTTCAGGCAGTTTCCAGGTCTTTCCAGCTCCAAACCCAGAATCCGCTCGATGGAAAACGCCGGCCTGCTTTCTCCTGTAACAGGAGCCAAAGTGGATGCCATAATGATCAATCTGACAAACTGATCAATAATCAGTGCTGAGAGCAGAAAGCCTCTGGTGTGCTAATAAAACTACTGACAACAACAAAAACTAAAAAATAATTCCATAGGTCGATTTTCCTTAAATCCAACTAAAGGTTCTACGCTGTGGAGATGTGGCCAGAAGTCGGCTGAGAAGGTGAATGGATGCTTAAGTCTGTGGTACATGTGAAGCAGCAGGAATACAAACTGCTGACTGCTGGTTTAAATGGGAGTGGAGGATTTACACTGGCCACCAATTAGAATTAAGAAGTGGTTTTCCATGTGAATGAGACTCCCCGAGGTTCCATACAGCAGCTAATCTCTGCTGTGTGTGTCTGTATGTGTGTGTGTGTTTTACTGAGGGACAGCATATTTACATTTTCAGTTTACTTAGTTTCACAATCAAATGCAACAACTCTGCAAAAAAACAGGGTATTTGCAAACTTTTCAGCTTGTGAGTGAGCGTGGGTGTGTGTGTGTGTCTATATCTGGGTTTTCCCTCATGAAATATACTGTATGTGTGAGATTAGGATGTGGAGCCTTTATAAAAACTGCCACCAGTGTCACACAAGCACAAAGCATGATTGCACCCTTTTCTTCGGAATTACCAAAGTAGAAAATCTGTTTAGTTTTTGCACTAAAAATACGTCCATCCTTCTGCTGCAAGTCTGTGGCGGAGTTTAATCTAATAATAATAATAATGATAATGATGGCAATAGTAATGATCCGGCGAGATCCACTAATGCTATTAGCCTAATCTGTGTGTGTTGTGATGCAGATGAAGCTCGTAGGGTCTGAATGCAGGTTGAAGCAGCAGGGAAGAAAACCTTTTCAGAACCAGATTAGCTCTTAATGAAGGCCTGAAGCAGCTTTAAACTAACAGCACACTTGTTTATTTAACCCTCAATGAAAGGCAGGATGGATGGAAGGATGTGATTACTACAGGCAGAAAGGAAGGCCATTTAAACTCAGCTTCGGTGTAACTGGTGGATAATAGTTAAAGGAATATTTCAACATTTTGGGGAAACAGATGTACTTTCGTTCTGAGAATGAGATGAAGATCATTATCAATCTTGTGTCTGTGTGTTAAATACAACACTGGGGCAAGGAAATGATTAGTTTTGCTTAGTTTAAAGAAGAAACACAGCAAGCTTCGCTTTGTCCAAAGTTCAAAAATGCACCAACCACACCTTTGAAGCTCACTAATTAACTTGCTGTGTTGAGTTAAATAGTGCAGTTCCTCCATCCACCCTGTATTTCTTTGCAGCGTCTCTGGATAGAGCTGATTATAAGATTTGATTGGTGAGCACAAGTTTTGCTTTTGGTCTCCAAAGCCTGGCAAAATTACTGTGACAAGACTTCAAGACAAGCACATAGTCACTGCACCGGATGTTCGCCAAGAAACAGCTCATGCCTTAATGCACGCATGGTATTTTGTTTAATTTCTTTTTAGGTAGATGGTAAACCAACCAGACGCCTTGTATACGTATGACAGTTTATTGGCATGCTATTGTTTCACTTTGGAAAGAGCTAAGCTAGCTGATTCCCCCTGTTCCCAGTCTGTGTTAAGAGTGACATAAATGCTGACAGTATTCAAACCTATCTGCCTTACAATAGAACATGTTATACACTTTTTGGCAACAAGCTATTAAAGTTACAGCAGACTGTCCATCAAGCAGTTTTCAGTACAGTTTTTCAGAGTCCCTGCATCCCTATCAACATATTCATTTACTGTTAAAGCAAAATTCATTTAAAGACAAGAACAAAATAATTTAAAAACATTTATAACGTGTCACATTTCACTGGTACTGATACTTCCCAAGACTCAGGAGCGGATGTAGAAGGGTGGCATGGGGTCGCAGTTGCTGCCACTAAAAAAGGCCTGGCCACCCCAGTTATCAAACGCTGTCATTAATTTAGATTCATTTTTAAATTAATGTGTTAAAAAAAATTAATTAATTCAATGATCTTTTATGGTCACATTTTATTTATTTGGAAAAATGTCTGAAGATTTGGAAATAAAACTATTTATTAATTTCTTATACCACTATTAGATATTTCTATTAGCTGCTTTACTGATGTGCCACAACAATATCACGTTTTTTAGTTCAAATATCTTTTTGGGGCTTTTACAAGCAAATATTGATATATGTAATTCTTTGTGATTAAATCAGCATTCACGCCAACTGTTAAAGTCTCCATGCTACCCTATGAATAGTTTTCTAGGTCCACCTCTGCCGAGACTTCAATGAAACCTACACTGGAATCAATACATTTTGGGTTTGTGAGTGAAAGTCTCTTTCTGAATTGAGGTGTTGAAGTATATCTGGAATGTGGAAAGTGAACTGGTGCAGTATCTGCAGTGTTGCAGCCATTACACCGGACTGTCATGGTGTAGAGGGAGAAATCATGAGCTTTGGGTGGTGACCAAAACAGGGAGAACGTGTATATAAGAGGTCAAAATGAGCTTCCATCGTACGGTGGCTTGAAACAAGCGAGCTGAAAAGGTTTGGGCATCCGATCTGGGTGCCTCCTGGAAGCCTCACTTTCTGAGTTTTCAAGGCACGTCCAACTAGAGGACGACCCTGAATATGTAGCACAGATTGTATATTCCGTCTGATAACACCTCAAGATCCCCCTGGAGGATCTGGCTGAGGAGGAGGATGTCTGGGCGACATTTCTGTATAATTGCCTGTCGGATTGCTGCTTGTCAAACAGCTAAAAAAAAACTGACTAGACACCTTAAAAGGTTTAAAATTAGGGAGGGTGCATTTCTTTAATGTCTGTCAATCACACTCACCTCACACAGTGATTGGCAAGGTGTTTGAAGGTGTGAGAATAAGACAGGTTTCAACTTCTCTCCCAAGCTCTTTTGTAATACTTCACACAACTACGTCTGTCAGTTTTCGTGTAAGTGTAACATCATGAATGCCTTCGAGTCAAGATTGTCAAAAATTTAAACCTTGCCAGTATCATGTAAATGTAGAACTAACATTACCTCATTAAAACTCCACCCCTTACCTGACACGCATGAGATGCCAGTAACCCTCTGTCATTCTTCCTCATGAAAAAAAAAAACAGCCGGCAAGATTCACTGTCAGTCTAACAACATCCACTTAGAGAGGACAGCCGGAGGACGGACGACCCCGCACTAAACGTGAGTTTTACAAACAGCACGACTCAAAATGGAAGTAAGTGTCAGCGTTGAGCCACATGTGACTGATTGCTCCTGGTATGTTTTCAGATTCCTTCAGAGAGAAAATGTCCCAGCGATCAGAGGAAGATCTCTACTGTCCTGTCTGCCACGACATCTTCAAAGATCCTGTTGTTCTGACATGTAGCCACAGCTTCTGTAAAGACTGTCTGCAGAACTGGTGGACAGAGAAACTATTACAGGAGTGTCCAGTGTGTAAGAGAAGATCGTCAAGGAGTGAACCGCCTTGCAACTTGGCGTTGAAGAAGGTCTGTGAGTCCATCATACAAAAGAAAGAGAGGAGAAGTTCAGCAGGGTCTGAGGCTCTCTGCAGTCTGCACTCTGAAAAACTCAAACTCTTCTGTCTGGACCATCAGCAGCCAGTTTGTGTCGTCTGTCTACATTCAGAAACACACAATGGACACAAATTCAAACCTATTAATGAATTTGCACAAAGCCACAAAAAGGAGCTCCAGAAAACACTGAAACCCTTACAGGAGAAACTGAAACTGTTTGAACAGGTTAAAGGAAACTGTGATCAAACAGCAGAACACATTAAGGTTCAAGCCCGACACACAGAGAAGCAGATTAAGGATCAGTTTAAGAAGCTTCATCAATTTCTACAAGAGGAAGAGGAGGCCAGGATCACTGCACTGAGGGTGGAAGAGGAGCAGAAGAGTAAGATGATGAAGGAGCAGATTGAGGCTCTGAGCAGAGAGATAGCAGCTCTTTCAGACACAATCAGAGCCACAGAGGAGGAGCTGAGAGCTGAAGACGTCTCATTCCTGCAGAACTACAAGGCTGCAGTGAAAAGAGTCCAGCAGCGCCCCCTGCTGGAGGATCCACAGCTGGTCTCAGGAGCTCTGATAGACGTGGCCAAACACCTGGGCAACTTGACCTTCAACATCTGGAACAAGATGAAGGAGAAGGTCTCCTACACTCCTGTGATTCTGGATCCAAACACTGCCAACTCAGAACTCATCTTGTCTGAAGACCTGACCAGTGTGAGCCGTGGAGAGACACAGAAGCTTCCTGACAATCCAGAGAGGTTTGATTACTTTCGCATCGTCCTGGGCTCTGAGAGTTTTAACTCGGGGACTCACAGCTGGGATGTTGAAGTTGGGGACAATACAGACTGGTTTGTGGGTGTGACAGCGGAGTCGGTCCAGAGGAAGGGGAAGCATCCGTCTCGTTTATGGAGAACAGGGTACTTTGATGGGAAATACAGCGCACGCTCCCTATCAGATCCCTCCACAGCCCTTTCTGTGAAGAAGAAGCTCCAGAGGATCAGAGTTCATCTGGACTGCAACAGAGGAAATCTGTCATTCTCTGATCTTGATACTAACACACACATACACACCTTTACACACACTTTTACCGAGAGGCTGTTTCTGTACTTTAACACTGTGAATATACGCCCACTGAAGATAATATCAGTAAAGTTTTCTGTAAGGCGGAGTTCAGATATATATTAGCTCTAACTAAAACCCTTAGATAACACCCTCTCTGTGGGAAGAGCAAAAAAAAAAAAAAAAACAGCCATGCAAGAAGTTTTTAACTTGACTCAAATGTTGCAACCTCACCCAAAACCCAACTGCGACACCCAATCAAATGTGCAATGACCTATTCCTAGCCTAAGTTTACTGCATTGTTTACTGGCAATCATCACAAGAGTAATGACTGTCATTGTGCTTACTGCCAGTGCAGAGCTGTAAAATCCTGCCAATTTATAAACTATTCAATTCAGTTTCATTTGTATACCGCCAATTCATTACAAAAGTTATCTCAAGACACTTTTCAAATACAACAGGCCTAGACTGTACTCCTTATATAATTACTTACAGAGACCCAAAAGTTCCTAAATACTGTGCAGTATTTCACATTTTAGTCTTAAAACTTCTGGATATTTTACTCCAATTTGTATTTGTGTCTCACTTGTTCTAGAATTATACGAGAAAGGATTGCCAGGTCCCCAAAAACCAAAGAATAATACAAAGACTCCAGAAATACTGTCTGTCAGGGCAGAATATTGTAGATCATACCTTATTTATCTTACTGCCACATTGCTACTGGAGACCTGTGGGTTCTGCAATGTGTCACCATAATACAGACATTACTAGGTAAGGATGAAAGCTGTAAGTATCAAACTTTACGGAAATGTCATTAATGTACAAAACAATAAAAACATATCTTTGTGCCTGAACTGTTTAATACCATATAGTTTTGTGAAATATAGACAGAAACAGGTTCATTTCCCACATTTTTTAAAGCATTAGTGACGTTCTTCTCAGAAGGTCAACAAATTATAACCTCATAAGAAAGTTTGTCCATTCAGCAGTTTATTAAATATTTACATGACAAAGACTCCACAAGAAATGATCAGAACGACACAGGCAGAAAGGCTGAAGTGTGTGTGTGTGTGTGTGTGTGTGTGTGTGTGTGTTGCAACATCTACTGCTGCTGGAAACAAAACAAACTGCCACACAGGAAAGTTTCCTTTAAGATAATTTATTTTGTACAGTAAAACAGGTTCAGAGGCTGCATTTGTTCCACTGAGTGTCTTTGTGGAGAGGACAGGGGAAGATGGATACACACACAAACACACCCGGGATGTTACAAACTTTCAGGGCAACCATTTCTCAGGGCTCGTGTGTGGTTATTGAGTATCTTACAAAGATGGACGATCAATCAACTTATCAGTCAATTGTGACAAAGTGTCTGATACGAGATGTCAAGATGTGAACTGCTACCGGCGATGACCCGAAGCAGAAAAACAAAAACATAGACTTTGTCGAGGGTGTGTTCAATTACGCCACAACTCTCTAACACAAACTTACGCCACAACTCTCTAACACAAACTTGCACCACATTCCAGATGCAGGAAAATCTGTCACACAAGTAGTTCTACCACGCCAACAACTTAAAAAAAGGCATTTTTCCTCTAGGAATAAACATAGTATATTTCTCTACCCCCCTCTTAGAAAGGCATGTGTGTTTGTTGTTCTGTGTCTGCATGATTGTTGTGATGTGAGCGTCGTGGGGTCATTGAACGCAGCCCTCTCCGGTAGGTTTTAAGCCCAGGTAGGGGTGAGTTTGTTTCGGTTTACTTTGGGGGCCTGTAGGCGATCTTCCTGCTCTTCAGCACAGACCACCTGTGTCTCTTCATGTAGTACATCAGAGGGACGAGGATGGCCGAGCCCAACAGCATCTGGAAACAGAACGAGAACGCAAAGATTAATCCCACAACAAGCTCCAGATTCTGTGTGCGTTTGTAGGCACGGACCAAATGGTTGTGACCCATACCATATAATCTCCAGACACGAGACACATTTACTTTAAAAAGTATTGTTTTTGCATCTGTACCCTCAAATTAAGGTATAATATTGGAGGTATTGGAACATTTCTAATGATATGCAGTCTGCTGTGTACCTTCAGGCCCATGCGTTTGCGTTGGTCGTGCTCTGGCTCGGCAGCCCACCTCAAGAATGTACACACGTCTTTAGCAACCTGGCTCATGGTGGCAGGGGTTCCTGTGACAACAGACACACAACAACCATCAGCACAGTTATTGTAGCAAACAGTAAAGCCCTCTCCTAGACAGTCAGGGTTCCCACTCTTTATTACAAAACATTTTCCAGGACTTTTTTTCTTAACAATTCAGAATCAGAAATACTTTATTGATCCCCAGGGGGGGGTTTGTTAAATTTATGACAGCACTTGCACACAAACAGTCGTATAATTTACCGATGTCCTTTTTCAGGACAACATAGACACGCCAAAAATCATGTGGCCATTAATACTGAGGCCTTTTATGATGCACTGGTTTTGAATAGAGGATGTTTGTCGATTTGCCAGAGTGTTTAAAAGTAGAATTTTAGTCTGTATTCCAAACTGTTTCCAGGTTGTTTTTGTAGAGACCTCTGTTCACAGTAAAATACCTGAACATAAAATCAGCTGAATTTATTCTCCTCCATCCTATTATCTGATGGCAGAACAAAACAAAGTAAGTAGTGGAGCCTTTCTGCACTGCTCACTGTAAGTGGGACTAGTCAATCAAATGGCCTTACAGCAGATCAAGCACACATACACGTCTTTACTTACCGTCATCATACTCAAGCACCTCGTTGTAGATGGGCGGGGCCATGCCGATGGCCTGCCCAGGGAAGTATGGGTTGTAGTAGAGTCCCTCTCTCACCGACACTCCTGCTGGAGGTTCGCAGTATCCTGTCAGCAGGCTGAACACGTAGTCCTCTCCTCCATGCCTGAGGGGAGCGGGGGGGACACACCAAGTGAATACCAAAGATTTGCAGATTTGAGGAAATGTTGTGGCTTTCAGACTTAACCATGTTTGTTTTCTGTTTTTCAGGAGTTACCTGGCATTGACAATGTAGCTAAGGTCTGGAGGCAGGGCTCCGTTGTTGGCAGCCCGAGCTGCCTCAGGATTGGAGTAGGGCTTTGGGAAGTAGTCCGACAGTTTTCCTGACCGGGTGAACATCTCTCCGTTGTCATCAGGACCGTCCACGACCTCAACCTGAACAGAACACACAACATACCTTTAAAGTGTGGCCCAAAACCTATAAATATAACAGCAGACAGAGCCAGGTGTCACCACCTACTGGCAGAACGTAGACTTTCATTCTAAAAATAACCGCAAACACTGACACAGACTCTTATGCTCACACACACAGACACACACACAGCCTCACCTCCTCAGCGATGGCCTTAACCTCGGCCTCTGTGTGCGACACTCCCACCAGATTTCTGAAGGCCAGGTACTCCATACTGTGGCAGGCTGAACACACTTGCTTATACACCTGGTAACCACGGCGAACACTGCAGGGGAAGAGAGATACTTGTAAGACTAAAGGTGCCACAACAGACTTTAAATCGAGTTCAAACATAACAGTAGAAAAAAGTATTAATTATAACCAAAAAAAATTGCAATAATAACAATAAAACACAAGATCCTGTCCCTGAGCACTGACAAATGTGTTGAATGCGTGTACCAATTACTTGTGATGCACCAATTGGGAAATTCTGGGCCAGAACCATTGTTTAACATAACTCTGTCGTTATTTATTCATCTTTTTGTGTCAGGGAAACAAAAGAAATCTCTGCCTAGTTGCAGCTCAGTCTATGTCCCTTCCCATCCAAGATGCTGCTGTGTGGTGCACATCAGGATTTCATGTGTGAGTAATGGAAAACTTATGCGGTGATTTTTAAACTCTCTGGAAAATGTATGTGTGTGTGTGTGTGTGTGTCCATGCATCACACCTAGCGTGGTCCAAGGAGGACAGAGGTCCAGCGTGGCTCCAGGGGTAGTTAGGGGGGTGGAGCTCCAGGTCGGAGGCTTTAACGGACTGATGCAGCATCAGAGCGAGCCCTGCCCCACCGGCTGCGACCACACCCAGCGTCGACAGGGCAACCTTCTTGTTCCGCGGCAGGCTGCCGAAGGACATGTTGGCCTACGGAGAAACAAGAACAGTCAGGATACCATTTGGTTAGTTACTAAAATTATTCCAGCACAACAACATACACGTGATTATTCACCTACTTCTTATATACATAACAGTCCGTACAGATATTCTGATATTATATCATTGCCAGACCTGTTTAAACAGGTTAAAAAGGAGTCAAAATAGTTGCTCATTTATTTTCTGTCAACTAATTCACTCATCGATGAATCTCTAGAATATATAAAGAATTCAGAAATAACATTAAGGATAGTAAAGAATGATTCCCAAGTGCTGCTGCAACAATATCTGAATGTTGACACTTACACCTTTATGATGACTTACAGTTGACCTAAAGACACAGCTTTACTTTATGGAAACTATTTGCAAAGTGTAATTAATCATAATGTCCTTGCTCGCAGACTGCACGCTGGTTGGGCTTATGAAAGTGCCCTTCACTACCGCTTCTGTAACCAGGTATCACATGACAGCATCCCTGCATCTTAATACGCACACACAAACACACACCAACCTCTTATCAGGGCCACGCTCAGGAAGGGCACCTATTTACAAACTTAGGACTTGAATCCATTTGTGAGGCGCTTAGGAAGCATATCATACACTGTGACTGAAATCGGTTAAATGGAAAAATAACGAGCACATTAATCAATAGTGTAACTAGAGCTGCGTAATTAATTTAAAGAAGCTTCAATTTCTTGATGAAGGTAAAAATGTGTCTGACCAGCTTTATAATTAAATACTGTAATGCTGCAGGGTTTATCTGGCCTACGAGTCTCACTCTCCAGATTTAGGAAAACACTGATTTGGTTTGTTTGTTACAATCTCCAACAAATATTCAACTTAATGCAGCTTACAACAGCAGCCACTTTAAGGGAGGAGGACAATATAAACAACCAGGAGGAGGACAATATAAACAACCAGGAGGAGGACAATATAAACAACCAGGAGGAGGACAATATAAACAACCAGGAGGTGGACAATATAAACAACCAGGAGGAGGACAATATAAACAACCAGGAGAACTACTCATGCTGACCGGTTTCTATTTGTTCATCAGGACATTTAGCCTCACATGTGGAGCATTAATAAGACACAACAGGGAGATAAATCCAGGTTAAAAGCAGCCTGGGGACGCAACCACACATGTCCAACAGCTCACAGATGAAGAGTAGCGGCAGTAAACGCTTCAGGTCGGCTTTCTTCACCGGAAGTCCGCACAGTCCTTGAAATGACGAGCCGACGAGCTCAGCTAACTTTAGCCGCTTTGAGTTGTAGACGGATTAAGAGTCTGAACTGAAGCAATTACAAACACTACGACCACACACACTGTGTATATATAGATATATATACGTGTCCCTGAACCGGTACCGACAGCAGATCGTTGCTGACGCCCTACAGAAGAGTGTGAACACCGGTGACCTTGTCTCAACCCGCAGACAGGCTAACGTTAGCCCGGTTCCCGCACGTCCCGCACGTCCCGCCGCAGCGCTTTCCCGTTAAACTGCGGTTATAAACTCACTCGGTCCTGGCTGGATGAATCCAACACTCATCCATCGACCTACCTTTGGGGTCCTGATAGTTTTCGGCGTGCTAAGGAGAGCCCTGCCGCTCCCCGATAGCACCACGACTCGTAACGCCGCCATCTTCTCTGCTCTTCTCTGAGTTTAAAGGAGCTGCTTGTCCGACACACAGCCCTTCCGCTCCGAACCTTCACAATAAAAGCAAGGGC